GGTGCATAGACATCGCCAAGCAACCAATCTGTGAAGTTCGTTGTTCGCTAATTCCTTTAAAATTAGAGCCGCGACTCACCAGGCCGTAGATGAATTGATCGAGGGGTTCTAACTAAGAGCTCGAGCGGGACTGAGGGGACTGTTCCAACCTCCCTAAGAGGACTCAAGCTCGGTACATGAGTTTGTTTGATGCATCCGACAAAGGCGTTCATTTGCATTGCGTCAGAATACAACGACTATTCAACAGACCAAGAATATCCGAGTGAATTCCGTTCTGCCGTCAATCGCCTGTGCGTGGAACGAAGATTTCCTGTTTATTCCCTCTACCCTGGTTTCCGTCGACGACCGGTTCGAGGGCTCGAACGCAGCGGAAGAACAAAGGTTCCGCCTCGATCGAAGTTTGCGCCTTCGAAATTTCCGAGCGGAGTGCTCCCTTGTCGCTCAACAGCTGACACGCCGTCCGTGGTGCCCGGACATCCGAGCGTGACTGACGGAGTCCGTGTACCTTCCTGAAGCAACCTTCTCCACACGCTGATCGACTCTTGTCCAGATCCCCTACGGCGAGTGGCCCTATTTGCGCGCGGTGGGTGTAATTATTCGGACTCAGAACTCCATCAAAACCGGCTCTGCACGCCTCCGGACCTCGAATTTGTTTCAAACGCCGAGACGGGGCGAAAGGCCTTCTCCGTGGGTATCTGCCTTTCAATGAGTCTGTTCGTCGTCCGAATGGTCGGTTGGGCAATGTGTTGACGGTATTTTACAACGAGAACGCGGCTTTTGGGGCAGGCGGGCACTGATGACGACATTCCGCCACGGGGCCGCCATATTTTCTAATGAATTCTCACAACAGGAAACAAGGGAGAAGGGATCGTCCTGTGCCGCTCCGCTCCCGAAACAAGAAGAAGCAGCAGCGTCGACGGGTCGTCGCTTAAATGAAAGCATGTATATGCACACGCCCCGTTATTCCGCTTGCGTGTCGCCTCCACCGGCAGGAATGATTTCGTATTTGGCGCTGCGCTGGCTGGCCGTTTCCATCTCAGCTCGACGACTCGATGGAATGAGGAACTTGATAAGGGACTCGGGCAGAGACAGACGAGCATGGATTCTCGGTATCGATCGACTCGAGTCTTCGGACAATGCATCAGCTGTCTGATGATGAAATAGGTCGCTTTATAGACGATCGAATTCGATGGCAACTGTGATATAGGTACTGCCCGAGTCAGCGGTCGCACACTCGTCTATGCATGTATCGTCAGTGTAGGGAGAAGAACGTCAGAGAAAACGCGGACGCTCATATTCGGCGCTGAATGAGAATTCCGCTCCGCTTTTCTGTGGAAAGCGCTAATTTATGGCACACTTTCACGCAAAATAGTATCGCGGAAGTGCCGTTCATGCGAGGCGATCATTGATTGGCTGTAACAATAAAACTTCCCCGCAACCGACGCGCCTTCCCGCCCGCTCGTCCATACGGCATCCGATCAACCACCCCGGCGAGCGAGCGACCGAGCGAGTGGCCGAGCGACCGACCGACCAACCACCCTCTAACGGTCGGCCAAGAGACCGTCGGACCAACATTTAATAGTGCGACGTATTCTCTCCCGTATTACGTCCTTTATGGCGTCGACAGCAGTGGAGGCAGTGTCGCAGCCCCGGCGAAACGAATCAGCCCCAACCCTTCAGTGGCAGTATGCGGTGAAATTTTTGGGGACGAGGTCGAGGAACTTTACGATCCTTTAGGATGACACGGCAACATTACACAACATGTTTTCCCCTTATTTGGTCTCCGCCGTTTAGGACCCTTGTTCGCTTGCGCGTAGGGTGCCTGACTTGCAGCAAGGCTTGTTTCTTTAGTTGGCCGTTGCCGTAGCGGAAGACGGGGAAAAAAGAATCGACCGTGCGTAGTGCTGACATTTATTGCTTTTTTCATCGACTATCAAATTCGAGCTCCGGTCGTTTCCCGTCTTTCTCTCCGTGAACGCGCACTCTCGTAACAATTTTGTTTTGGCTAAAATTTTCCCCGCTCGCCACGGAAGTTCCGTGGGCAAGGGAGAAAAGTATCACGAAGTGATTCAACGGATAAACAATTCTCACGGCGATTCGGTGCCCTGCCGCGGAGAACCTCCTGCGGGAAGAATGATCGGGCACCCGGGGACTAGATGCGATGCAAAAATTCGAGCAACGCCACGTCCCAGCAGCTGAGCGATCCAGACTAGACTCAAGCTCTTCTTTTCTCTGCTTCTCCATGTTGGGGCACCTTCACGCCTCATTCCAGCCGCTCATGTGATTCGTATATATGGTGTCGAGACGGTTTCCTCTCACGTCATTCCCGGCGCCGAGTTCATTTCGCGAGGATGACCAACCCGACTCGCAGTCAAATATGTATCAGAGCCAAGACTCATTCCTCCACCGACTCCACGCCAGTAGTGCCGAGCAAGCAACGTGACGCAATATAGCTCACCGGCTTATTCCTCGTCATAAGCCACCCCTTTTTCTTAGCCGAGAATTCTCGAAATGACGGGATGATACTCTTGTGCCGGGGAGTTTCTTGAACTCATCTCGCGATGGCTCGACTCAGCATTTTCTCGCTCCTCTGCGAGCTTCCCCTGTCGACATGTACGAGCGACCAGAGCGCGAGCTTATATGAGTGTGTTTGACACGCCAGGCATCGATGGATATTTTCCGAAAATAATTCGACTATCCGGGAACATCATCCTGTCGGGAGGAAACTCGGAGCCGATTTCTGAGCAAACGTCCTCGATCAGTGAGTTGGAAACGGAGACGCGACGCTCTCCTGATCCTCATGGGCACATTCGCTGTAAATCCTTCCTCGTTCAAAAGAACGGCGTCGAAGGCAAGGGGGGACCTTATCTTGCAGTGAGAGACAACAGCGAATGCAAGAAAGAGACTTAAGAGGTTTCGTAAAGTCCAACGAAAGCTCCATGAATAGACAACGAGCAAGAGACGAACAGTGGATGCCGGGCCGGAGACACGAGGAGAAAGTCGGAAGGACAACGGGAGAGACTCGAAGAGCAAGTCGAGACCAGGGAACGAGTTGAGGCTTCGCTCGCGGAGGATGTCAACGACATTGTAATCTTGTCTCACTGCGGACATACGGACGGATGAACATTGTAGCGGTGACTGAATGAATGAATGAATTTTCGCCCTGTGTCGAATATTGCGCCATCGAGAGCCCCTGCAGTCTCGTCCCCTCTTCCTTTGTCCTTTTCTCAATGCATACCCGTCCACCAACCGCACTTTCCCTGCCTCCTCGGACGCTGAGTTTCTAGCCTTCCTAGTCTCGAACGCCGAAGGTCATCTAGAGCGTTCGTTGGGGAATGGGAAACCGCGGGAGGCCCTGCTCGGATCAGGAAGCACTTCATGGATCATGGCTCTCACCGAGTCTCGGTTCCGTCTTGGGAAAAAAAGAGCGGGAAATCTGAAATGAGACGAACAAGAATTCAGCTGCTATCCGGCAGAACGTGTTGACGACTCGGGATCGATCTTCATCCGTGCGGCTCATCTGGCCACCGCGCCACGCGCCGTCTGCGAGATGCCTCCCCGTTTCCATTCCGCTGAACAAGTTGTCCTTTTCCATTATCATCGTGCGCTCGTCTGCCTGCTCACTCAGCTAAGTGGTGCTTGAGGAGCACTTGCCGAAGGAAAGGAATGAACCGGAAGCTTTCTTTAAAATTGACGCTTGTCTCAGTCAGCGTTGTTGCCCGCGCTAGCGCGTCGGCTCCGCGGCCTGTCTGTCTCCTGGCTCGACAGACGGTCGAGTTTGCCGCCTCTCGTTTTTGGGCAGCCGAGGCACGGAGACACACGTTCGAATGCACGTCTCGCGTTGTGGGCACGAAGTTGTGCGACAGTGTGCTTCGCTCAAAAACACGGCTCGTCTAACGACGACCGTCTAAAGGATGTTCGGCTCTTCGTTGATACCGCCAGGCACGACAATTATTGCGCTCTGAACAGACACGATGGAAGAATTTTACGCGCGGTGGAGTCAACTTTGAACTGCTCAGTTCGTAGCTAATTGAATTTCTCCGAAAGCATCGTCCCCGGAAAGTTCAAACAACAATGGGAACAAGTCCTCACTACTCGGACGGCGCACAAGCTCTACAATTTTTTTGTTCGCCGCTCTGTACCGAAACGAGCTCATTGCGAAACACATCGCCAATCGAGACAATGACTTTTGTCAATGGACGCCATCGTCCCCGCCCTCACTGGCGACAGCGACACGGGCAAGAGAGCGCGGGGCTCTCTGAGCTTTCGAGGGGAAAATATCAGTTCGAGGCAGGGAATCTCTGATGGGAGACATGTCTGATCGATTGTTGTCAGATCTTCTCGCTCTCATCGACGCTTTCGGGATCTGGCTCGTGATATCGGGTCCTCCCTTCGAAACTGACAGATTTTTGCAGCTACAGGTGGATGAGGATCCGTAGCTGTACCGAAATTGTCCCGTAGCCCGTTGTGACCGACACTATAACGTTGTTCGAATCGTGGCTCGGCTCTAGGGAGTCACGGACAGCAGAATAAGTTTATCGATATAGAAGAAGCCGATCAGAGCCCGGTAGGACGGAATTCCATCTTTCTCTTACGAGATGGAGGGTCGATATCCAAAGAGAATCGGGAACACGGAATAGAACTCTTTAGTAACGAGCGCAAGTATCGGGCAAACTCTTCGCGGGAACCTCCCCGAGATCGATTGTACGACCACTGACAATCATCAGTGAAATCGTCGAGCTTAAATTTCTTAAATTCACTCATTGATGATTGTCCTGAGTCTCAGGTCTGGACATCGGTATCGTCCTTCTTTTCCATAGGAATTCGTCGACGAATAAACCAGCTGATGGGATTTCCAGCATTCCAGCGAATTTCGAAGAGTCTTCCCCCGATTGGTGGGAATCTCGATCGGCAGTCAAGCTGTGGCTGTCGGTACACGCCCGCGAAGCTTCGTTGTTATGGTTTGACGCACCCACTTTCCTGAACTTTCTCTTGTTGATATCGTGCTGATTGTAGATGACGGAATGCTTGCAACGCTCGCCGATCACATGTTCCCTGTCCGGCATTTCGCACCCTTTTGAGCTTGCGGAAAGTCCCCTCTCCGGGATCCAGCGAGGACGAAGAGGGGTCCTGGATTTCTGATTCACGAGGAGAGCGGATCGAAGGGAATTCGGATGGCGAACGACTACGACTCGTCATTGGAGGTGATTCAAGTTTATCAAGCTCCAGGTGACGAAAGATGGTATCCCGTCGATCCACGGAATCATTATGTCGTCAACAACGAATACATCGACGGCGCTCGTCTACTCATCCGTAATGTTTGTCGAGACAACGAAAGCGGAAAATTCGTTTACTGGGAAATGGACAACAAGTCGGTTCGAACGGAAGTACTCAGAGCACTCGAAACGAGCCGTGCCTCCAAGAAAACTCATATCCGAATCAACGGGATAATTGTAAGCTCTCAGCTCTCATTTTTGGTGGATTCAGTCTAAATCGCAAATTATCAGATAGGGATGCGCTTTCCGGGAGATCTCGAGGCGAAATTCGTAGAGCTCTGAGTCGATTTCAGGTGAATCCCATGAGAATGACTGCCTCGAAGAAACACAAGGTGAGGCGGGAAGTTCTGGACGTCCATGACAGACCGGTACTCGAAGTGAGAAAATGCTTAGCGCCACCCGACGAAACAGTGAAGCTCATCAGATTCGAGCCCAGATCTTTACTGGGCAACCAGTGTGGGCATAGCGAGCCGGAGGTTGTTGTTCAACCCGTTTCCGACGACGAGTTCAGAGTCGCGATAAAGACAGCGTTGCCCATCAAACAAGAGCCTATCGATCCGCACGTTGCGCAGAAGCCGGACAGCATTCCAGAGGTCAGTTTCCGATGGATTCATCCCATCCAATCAGATTTCAAAACGGTCTCGTATGAGCATCTTCTTCCACGGATGAAGAGAATATTCCGCGCTATATTCCGGAATTCGCTCGGTCGAGTTGAATGCTTCGATCAGAATATCGCACTCAATTACAGATGGAAGTCGCTCGGAGACGCCCCAGGTCAAAGTCCGCCAACGAAACTCCCATCAACCTGAGGCGATCCATGAGAATTCAGGCCACGGGCAACCCTTACAAAGCAGCTACAGATGCTCACAGGCGACGGAAAACCGATCCGAGATCGCGATCGGGACGTCGCAATCAAAATACCTGACGGCTTGTTCCTAAAACCATCTTCGAGCGAAATGATCTTATAATTTAAGCGGGACCAAGCCTTTAGAGTTTGGAATCCTCAAAGCATCAGACAAGATGCAACGCGGAACCATCAAGTTTCCTTTGTGCGTATTCGTTCAAGCCTACTACATACAATAAAAATAATTGATTTCAACCGTATCCCCTTCGTCAATCTGTCCCCTCTCCCTGCGCCACCGTCTGCCCCCTCCCTCTGATCTGCTATCGCGAGGAGACATTATACGTGGAGCTATCAAAGAAATTGGACGAATCGATGAATGATTTCCAGAGCGATAAACTTTGTAGCTAGCCACCGTCTCTCCGTGCCAAAGGGATCTGAATCCCTTCCTTGAACCGTCGACTTTGTGCGAAGCCGGACAAAAATGAAAACCGTTAACATCGGGACAATGAATCAGGTCAGGGGAGAATCGCTGAGGGAAAAATTCGCAGAATTTCACTCCCACCCACCCCATTTGCTTGTCGTTGTAACAAATGAATGTATCGTTCGACATCCGCGGCTGCAAGAAGTCCTCGTTACACCGCGCTGTCTCGACGTTACTAACGACAGCCTGGTACAGGCGCACGAGCAGGAACTGAATAGGAATCGCGGTCCGACGGGGAAAGAGCTCGAAAATTAGTTTTTTCTCCCTCTTCGGCGGGGGCCTGGATTCAGCCTTTGACGGAGTCCCCTTGAAGGTCTGTGGATCTTTCTGAGCCGCGAATTTTTACGCGAAACGTTTGAAAACCCTGAAAACGAAAAACTCCGATCGCAGGCACGACTTGTCGTCCTTGGAGACCAGGGAGCGAAGGCACAGATGACCTTCCTGGTGAGCCGTGCGCAAGACACAGGCGAGGCACCTTTTCGGACTCTGCGGTTTCAATTCCATAGATCGCTCCCGTAGCTGCAGCCTCGATGGACCTCAGTGAAGCAGAGTAAGCTTCACAATCGTTTCGATCGGGTTGACACCCCTTTAACATCAGATATCATCAGTGATTCATGAAAGATGATCGGACGTGACTTCAGTGTCGCGAGAGATCCGAAATTGGCAATGGGCTGCTGTAGACTCAGCAGAGGATTTCAGCAGCGCTTATGCTGAATCAGATCTTGCAAGCTGGCGTCCCCATGAGCCCTCCGGGAACCCTCGGCTGATTCCCACTTGCCCGCCCCAAATCGTCCGCGATTCGTTCTGTCTGATGGTATCAAGCGGGACCAGGAGCAATATCTATGCATATTCGTGGTACGAATGTTGATGCAACGACGAGCCACGTCCGCATCTACAGATCAAGGTTCCAGAGTACAGCCAGCCAAGGTCTGGTATTTATACGTATTCTCCTGAATACCATGACCCGCAATTTTCCCGCACAGTGTCCGTCGAAGTCAGCGAGACCGAGTATGATATTACTCACCACGTAAGACGCTACGTTAAGACTGAAAAAGTCATGTCCGTTATCAGGAGTTCGAGTGCTGCTGAGATTCGTCATACAACGAGCGACTTGCCATCAAGAGTAGGATCCTGAAGACGCGTTCCGCGGCAAGCAAGTGTCGTAGTGGCTACGGGAACGCCTCTGGGGCAGGTCGGAGAGTAGAGTTTGTGCGGTGGCTCTTTGACGGCAATGAAGGAAGCGCTGGGACTGTCTAGAGGAAGATCCACCAAGAATATTCCATTGAGTGACGAAGATCTGGGCAGAGATCAGCGAACAGATCGAATTCTCCAAGAGAATAGTTCTCGCGCTGGGTCGCGAGGCAAGTGTCGGACAATGCGATTCCGGCAACCTCATCGGGAAACATCCACATGCCCTTTGAGCATCAGTCATTTACCTCAATGAGGTTCTGCCCGTGTTTCGCATGCTAGGCCAAAGAACATCAGGATGTGACGCGGATAGGATCGTTCTCCCAGCGCGAATGAACTCAAACATTCACGACATTGCGTCGCACGCCATCCTCGCAGGTCCTTCCACGTCGAAGCCTTCTTCAATTCACGACCGAGTCCGGCCCGGCTCAAGATTGGAAAAGATATCTTGCTTGCGAGCTCGGTTGATTGGTCTTCCGTGGAATGGTGGATCTGCCGCGCAGCTGCCTAGACCTCCCTGTCCTTCAGAGCCTCGGAGGAGGGAGCACGATGGAGAAAAGAGGCTGGAGATGAATTGGTTCGGGTCGTTGTCGCTATCGCCCGTCTGCAAACGGAGCCCGAGGAACGTCGCTATCGGTGGACGACAATGTTTGTTCGTCTACCGGGAAGTGAATGGCTTGACTCCCTCGCTTGTGCCGAGGAATCCACGCTCGCTCTAATGGGAAACTGTATCCAACAGCGGCAACATCAACGACGACGACGACAAGAGTGTTGCTTCCGACGAGAGTGTTGTGACCCGTGAGGGAGAACGAGCCCCGTCCCCCACAGTCGCATTGTTTTGTATGGAAATCTCACAGACTGACGACTGAGTGACTGAGAGGCTGAGCCGGTCAGTCAGTGAGCGTGAGGAGCATTGACCGGTTCGCTCGTTTCCTTATCTGCTTTGTGCTCGTATCCCTGCAGACCTTCAGTATCGGACCTGCGAATGTTGCTGCCTCAACGGCAGCCCACCCCTTATTTGATTTCCCGCACACGCTGCACAAACACGCATAGGCGTGAAGAGACGTGAGCGATACGAGTGTACACACGCTCACTGTGACAGAACTGCCGACTTACGCTCGCCTGTGGGAGGTTGCAACACGCCCGCGGTACGCACCAACGCGACCGAAGGCATTCATGTACAAACAACAATGACCGCTGTGTGAACGGACCGGGCATCGTTCGGAGACAGTGATTCGTAGAATGCGAATCAGCTGTGACCTTCGAACCGGATGTATCGACAGGCTCGGCTGCAGAATTAGACGATCGGCGCAGAAAAAAAGAAGTATGGGTGAGGAATAGGATTTCGTTAAGAATCTAGCGTTACACGGAGAACCCCTTAATTCGCAACAACGTTTGTATTACAATCCAAACCGTAATTCAATCATCATTTGGTCGAATAGCTGTCTTAAGTTCCGATGATGATTTGATTTACACACACAGACCTCGAACCTTATGAACATCCTGTACAATAATTCATTCCTATACACTGTAAACAATGGGTTCCCTATTCTCTCTCATTTCGGAAACTCTCCTTCATTGCACCATCACATGCTGGACATCTCATCGGTGAACACTTGATTCTTGCTCGGCCAGGCGCAAATCCTGACGCAGGAAGAGGAATCCCGCTCTTGTCCTCGGTTTCTGGGGTTTCGACCGCTGTCTGACGGCCTCCTCATACGAAATTGTCAAGCTGATTGTATAAATTCGCCAAGTCCCGAATCATTTGTGGCAATGTGAGCCGTTCTCCGGGACACGTCGTCCAGCAGCGGAACATCACGTTGTATCTGTAAATTGACTTTCATGAGTGCGAAACGATGACCCTGCTTATCGCCTAATAACCACCTGCTCCAAGACCACCCACTCACAGTTCATCGGGACAGTTGGCAGGTTGAGGCAGTCTGTAACCGCTATTGAGGCAGGTTGCCATTTTCTGAGGCTCGATATCGGGGAAGGGGGGCTGGCCCAGCGTGAGCAATTCCCACAGGGTGACACCTAGCATCCACAGATCGGACGCAGGCGTGAATTCTCGTTTTTGCAAAGATTCCAGAGCCAACCATTTCACCGGCCGTCTCTCCTGCTCGTGATCACGATTGCTATCATCGAGCCAATGATAGTCCTCGGAGAAGAAATCTCGAGCCAGAGCGTTATCGGCCAGTTTCACATGCAGCCGATCGTCGACCCTGGAAAGTTCCAAATCCAATTGAATCGTTTATTTTCGAAACATCGTAACTCCACTCTGGAAAAACACCCAAAAACAATCTTCCCCCTGTAGTTTATCCCACAGGATACCGATCCTGGCTTGTGGGGCCATTTTCGAAAGCTCTTGGTGAGAGCTTTCAGAAAAAAGATATAACACCGCCCTCCCTCTCCTTCTGTGGCTACACGCGGAGAAATGAGTCTTTGGAGTTACGATGTTTTGAAAATAAACTTTTTTTCAAAACTCAGGAATCTTTATCTCGCCGTAAAAACGTCCAGGATCATCGTAGGAGGCTGTTTTTTTTTTCAAAATGTAGCCCAGGTCCTCAGCTTTCCAACGAGGCGCCGCACGACCCTATAGCTCCATTCAATCAAAAGT